ACAGAGAAGAAAGATACAAAGAGAGAGAGAACGAGAGGGGTTGAGAGGTAAAGGCTAAGCAAGAGTAAGAAAGAAAGAGAGGGAGAGAGAGATATTGAGGAAAAAAAAGAGGGAGAGAGAGTGAGAGGGGAGAAAGATGAACAAAGAGTGGTGGGGAAGAGTGAAAAAGGGTGATACAGTAGAAAGAAAAAGAAAAAAAAGAAAAGACATTGAGAGGGAGAGAAATTTTGAGAAAAAAAGAGAGAGAGAGAGAGAGAGAGAGGGGAGAAACAGAAAGAAGAAGAGTTAGAGGGGGAGAGAGGGAGAGGGCAGAAAGATGAGGAAAGAGAGTGAGGGAGAAGAGTGAAAGAAAGAAAGAGAGAGGGTGATACAGAAGAAAGAAAGAGAAATAGAGAGGGAGAGAGAGATATTGAGATAAAAGAAGGGGTGAAAGAGAGTGGGAGGAGAAAGAGAACGAAAAGAGAGACAGAGGAAGAGTTAGAGGGGGGAGAGTGGGACAGAAAGATGAGCAAAGAGAGTGAGGGAGAAGAGTGAAAGAGGGTGATACAGTAGAAAGAAAGAAAAAAGAGAGAGAGATTTTGAGAGAAAAGAATGGGGGAGAGGGAGAGAGAGGGGAGAGAGAGAATGAAAAGAGAGAAAGAGGAAGACTTGGGGAGGTCAGAAGAAAGAAAAGAGATAGAGAGAGAGAGATTTTGAGAAAAAAGAAGGTGGGAGAGAGAGTGAGAGGGGAGAAAGAATGAAAAGAGAGAGAGGGGGAGGACAGAAAGATGAGGAAAGAGTGGGAGAAGTGTGAAAGAAAGAGAAAGAGAGGCTGATACAGTAGAAAGAAAGAAAGAGAGAGAGAGAGAGAGATTTTGAGAAAGAAGAAGGGGGGAGTTAGAGGGAGAGGACAGAAAGTTGAGGCAAGAGAGTGGGAGAGAAGAGTGAAAGAAAGAGAAAAGAGACAGAGACAGAGAGCAGAACAGGAAGCAGCCCCGCTCATGCAGGTGTACGCTGTGGTTCACACCACTAACACTAACATTAGCATCACAAAAACCATAAACCAGGGAGTTTAAGGCCCAGGCGTGGAAGAGGCCGCTGACAGGAGCCTTCACACAGCCTCTAATCTTGTCCACATCAGCAAAACTGTACAGAAAGCACAACCAAGATATCTGATTGTGAAAATATAGACCATAATTCTGACTATAACCAGCTCTGTTTTTATGAGTTTAACGTCTCTGTATATTAACCCTTCAAAATAAACACTAAACTAAACTATAATAGATGTAAAGGTGTATAGGTTTACATTTGCGTAGGTTTAAAATCTAGATTCCTTTCGCACTTTGACTAATCCTGGAGCATTAAACTCAATTTTCAAACCACAAAAGGAGGAAGTATTTAGATCTAACTAGTTCCGAGCTCTCACAAACACTTCAACACAACTCTAGTATTCACATGGATGAATTTTTGAGTTTTACACTCTACTGGGACTAAAAATAAAACACCAGACCTGCCAAGTCATAAGAAATAAAAACAGACTAGACAAATGTAATAATAATTCTGCTGCTCTTATTAAATTACTGTCCTAAACGTTCATTTAAAGAATATTAAAATCAGTCGTACTTCCTTCTGCTGTTCTGTTTGCAGCTTGTTTTAATGGAAAATTTGTGATCATGCTTTCTTGAAAATCAGGAAATGATTTTTTTTTATGGTTAAATATGAAAACTGAGCAATGGTGAGTGAGTAAGACTGGGTTAGAAAGTTAAAGATAAACAGAAATCCGCCCCCTTTATTTGAAAAGTCATAACCTCCCGATATTTCAAAAATGTAATTATTTTCATCTTCCTCTAACAAAAGTGAAGGCGGTTCTCAGTGGTTTCAGGTGCTATACCTGATTTTTATCATTTTAAAAACGTGAAACACAAGACTCGCTCATTTTAAACAGTTTGCAGTAGTCCAGAGTTACGCACACTCATTATTCACCACGATAAATTTGTACATTCATAAGCACATTTCACATCTTTCAGATGCCAGAGCAAAATTTGTCGTCACAGTAATGCCAACAGCAACTAGCATGTTAACCACACACTTCCTCATTCTCTGATAATAAAACTCTTTATAATTACAGGCAGTAGCAGCAGACATACAGTATTTTGACCTCAAGAGCTGCTTATGCAATATGTCTGAACGGGAGCAAGGCAAATTTTATTGAGATACACTGGGAAAGTTGTATACAGGCCTTTTAATTAAACTGTGTGTATTTAATTGTGACAATGATATGATTTAGAAACAAAGATTAGTATAATATTGCCCACTTTAGAGCTCCTATAGTACGCAAAAATTACTCTTATGAGCTTTAAGCCATGTTAGAATGTTGTTACGTCCTCAAAAACATACCTGGAGTTTTGTTTTGTTTCATTCACACATGGCCGAGTAACTCTTTATTATTACCCTGTCTGCATCTCTAAAGCTCAAAATGCTCTGCTCCACCTTGTGATGTCATGCACTGTAGTGGTAGTTTTCAAGTCAACAGCTCCTTTTCACCTTTAGTTCAGAAGAGACAGGCAATTCCAGGGCTGAAATTATCCAAATGTTTCTAGTGAAGGTGTGTGGAGTTTAAAAACACTGAAGCACTGTCATCACAAAGTGGAACAGAGTGTTTTTAGTCTGACAAGAACACTAAACATGCAGGCTTTGTGTGTTAAACATATGTGAATGAAACAAAACACACCTCCAGGTCTGTGTGTAATGAGGAAACATTATAATAGATCAGAAAATAGCGCCATGTGGGCCCTTTAAAGCGTAAAGACAAATCCTCCAGGTATTTCAAAGGATGTTATGATTATTTTAGTCTGTTCACTGTAACAAAGTGGATTCTCTGTGGTTGACGCCTTCATGTTTTTTATAGGCAGATGTTTTGAGCTTATGTCAGTGGTTGTTTCACTGGAGTATTACCACAAGATTGCAGAAGTATCCACGGACAGAAATGTTGCAAAACTCACTGATGCGCATCAATTTCCTCTTCCTGTACGCAGCAGAAATGGTCTCCCTCCACAGATGTTCAGATGAAAAGATTTTTTTTTTTTAATGTAGCAAAACTATTGGAAGTTTTCGTGGCTTCCAAACCAAACACGATGAGGGAGTAGACTGTGACCGAGATCAGGAGTTTGGGAAAGATACTGGGAGTGACTTGTGGTTCGTTTGAGTAATGCCATTGACACCCACCTCTTCTGAGAATAAAGCCACTTAGTGAACAGATAATACAAGATGGTGTGCAGTGATAAAGGGTTTTCTCACTTTTGTGGATGAGCAAAATGTTCCATACATACACCGACTTTAAGTTAGGTTTACTGTAGGTTTGGCAGCTCAGCAGAATCCTTTTTTACATAGTGCATCAAGTACACTAAAAATAAAACATAGCCCCTAAATAAATGATCATTTTTTACATAAATTCAATCCATTGTACTGTAATAGATGTATTTATTTATTAAAACTATTTGCTCTAGATGAATAAAGTAGTAGTAGTAGTAGTAGTAGTAGTAGGCGTGTAGGCATATGTCACAATAATTATTACAGTATGTATCGATTTCATTAATTACAGATTTGCACTGTCCTTTTGGTCTCACTATTTATTGTATACCTTCTTTTGCACTTTTTTTTCTTAGCTTTGTGGTTCTAAATGTAAGTGGTCTGCGTGGAGGACCGATGACTCATGTTGGAATCTGGCTTCTGTGTGTCGACCCCGGGGCAGCCGTGGATTAATGACTGATTATCGACGGTGGTGAACAGCGTTAAAAGGCGTGTTAAGATCAATTCACAATACAACAAAAACCTATTTTGATTATCTACACTATTTTTATTGTAACGTTTTCTGTAGCAATATGTCTGCTTAAAATGTGTCAGGTGTTATTAACTTAAAGAAAGATAGACAGAATTATACAAATTATCCTGGAGGAAAATAATTTTTCAGAAACAATACATAATAATAATAATAATAATATCAGGAATAAGGCTGGGTATCATTAAGAAGTTGCCAATACGATACATACCACGATACATAGGCCACGATACAATATATATCTCGATACAGTGAACCTTCAAATAGATTCAATACGGTTCAATTAAAAATAAAGGCTAAATCATGGTTGTGATACTAAAAGTCTTAACCACTTCTTGTGCAAAGTTCATGTGAAAGACAGACATTTTACTCCTCAAAACTGTGAAAATGTCAAATGTGTTGCATAAACGAGTTTCCTTCCTTCAAACAAGCAACAAAACTGTAGCACTGTAACAAAAGAATTTAGGAAAATATAACACAAAATACTTTTATATATATCCATACAGCAGCCCATGATATTGATACTGTATCATCACATTAAACGATACGATATATCGATATTTTGATATTTTTGCACAGGCCTAAACACACCCCAAATTCATTTTATAGTGAAGCATAAAGGTGCACTGTGTGACATTTCTGGTGAAGGGTTTGTCACCTGGAGTTTTCATTAATAATATTCCAGAATATTCCACAATATGGCATTACACCAGTATTTATCTCCAGTGACACAAGCTGGTCAGGCCAAGTTGTAGATCAGATCTGTGAAGAGGCGAGCCCACTCATGTAAGAAAACATGTTTTTCAACGTATTTTTGTGTAATAAAAATGTGTGATTGAATAAATGCAAATGCAAGTTAAGTTTAATGCCATACTGTGGAACATTCCAGGTTAAACAATAGCTACTTCATGGATTCAGGCACATAGAGACCCTGAAACTGAAAAGTTACACAGTGCACCTTTAATGTTTCCCTAAAAAAAGTGATTACTGGCATTACTACTGTTACTTTGAATCTGAATTTGCTTTTTCTCGACTGACTCTTTCATGGAGGTGGGCGTGGGATAGTTTCATCTCTTTCAAGGGTCACTCGTGACTTTGGGAGTGTCAGGTGGGTGTATTCTTTTACCCGAAAGGCTGATTCATCTTAAAAAAAAATAAAAAAAATAAATGAAACTGTTTTTACCAGAAGTGGCACAGCTGACAGTTGGTCAAGACACACATGGGGTGGTCGCGAGTGCAGGACTGAAAAGAGGAAGTGGACAATGTAACTTCCTGTATCGACACAGATGAGTGGGGGAGCATCAGCAGACTGCGTAGGACCACTGTTTAGTCACTCGTCTGTCACCTGATCGCCAGAAAACTGCACTGACACGGCTTTTAAATATGCACAATCCACTATAATGCACATCTGTGGTCAGTAGTAACAAGGCTTACATTCTATGGCTGCTGCTATTGTGGTTAGATATGTATTTTTTTCTATTCAAAGTTCACATTTTAAACGCAAATTAACAAGAAGTTACAAAAAGACTGAAATATGAGCTGGTAAACAAATACAAGAATCACATTTCAGAACATGTTTGTACAGGGTTTGCATCTTTTCTGTAGAATAAGACAGGATATTTTGTTGTATTTTTGACGAAATTATTATTCATTATTTAAAAGTTTAGTCTTTGGGATTTGCTAATTTCAATTTTAATTTGATTTTGATTTATCTTGCAGTAGTAGTACACAAGTCTTCCAAGTAGTAGTATAATTACATATTTTAAGTATAAGTCATTCAAGTAGTAGTAATGTCAATATTATTTGGTTAATTGATAATCGTGAGTAAATAATAAATAATAATTGTGACCATTTTCTCTGTGAGTTAAATAACCCTTTTAAGTCCTGCTGTTGTGCTCTTGGGCTTTACAAAACTGAATAGATTTTAACCATTTTAGAAACACATTTAAGTCATTTCATTGCAATCTATACTCCAAAAAAGTACTGAGTTTTTAATCTGTCTTCTTATGTTCCATTAACATGATTTTATCTTTCAGAAAGTTCAGTTTCATCAAAGGAAGGAACGGTAGGAATGAAAGAAAATGTATTATTTCATTGTTGCTTAGTCATAGTGTCAATAAATATGTGCAGAATTGTTAAATCATGATGTTTCTTCTCCTAATAATAATAACAGCATTTTATTTTTTACACATAAAGGCTGAAGATTTGAAGACTGCATGAATGACTGATCAAAGTGTTTGTAATTGATCGTTTTGCTGTTAGGAAGTGTCAGCGGTTAAGAAATTTGTATCTGTTGTTAATCTGAGTGTTTTGTCATTCATTTTAGGAGATGCCCGAGTTGAGTAATAGGAGAGAGTAAACTTCAAAAAAATCAATACACATATACCAGTCAATATTCAGATTTGTATCAGAACTACATACTTACTGGACCAAGTATCAATTCTGCAAAAATTACTAAAATAGGACACATTCTGCCCTTTTCTCAATAGTTTTATGGACTGAATTTACACCAGAACTTTGTGTTAGACCATACTGTAATATTTAAGACACTACTAATGTTTGGAGTTGAAAATGTTTTAATATTCTATTTTGTTTGTCATTTTTATCATATTTATTGTGGTATCGAAGTTGGTATCAAGTATGGTATATATTAAGGCATTTTCTTATTGAAAATCATGACAACACCAGGAGAGAATAAAGAAACTATACAGAACACGTCATTCTTATGACTCTTGCTTAATCCCTCTATTAAACCTTTAATCTTTTGATTGATTGCTCTGCTTGTTTTTAGTCTAAAATTATTCTTCTTCTGACAAACAAGGGAAAAAAATAGAATAGCAGTTTTTTAAATCCAGTATTTAAAACCAGGAACATTTAGATCAACCAAATAAATCTAAACTACTCAAAATAAGTGCAGTATTCTTTGTTTTTTTTTAACACTCCTTTCTACCTTGTGTCTCTTTGAAATGTTTGATTGTCCGAGATAATTTTTGTTCTCGAGGGAACACATTGCACTTTCTTGTTGCACAGTACTAATCAGAAGAACAAGTCTGACTTGTGTTGGTTCCTCCCCCGGCCTCCCCTCTCTTCCTCCCACTCAACGTTTTCACACGAAACTGAAATCAAGCAGCTCCGAAAATGGGGGAATTTATCTGGGTTCACTTGGCCTCATTATTGTGCAGCTGCCTGTGCACCACCAGCCCGACAATTTTGGACAAATATTTAAGCTCAAATTCTGCAAGTGAATTGATTTTCCACATTTTTAACACGACCACGAGCTTTGACATCTGAGAGAAATATTATCTGCTTAACCGAACAAAAATCACACAAATTTCAGAACTCGTTTGCAGATGTCTAAACTATTTTAAAATCCAAAACGAAACTGGATATTTTATACATTGCAAAGTTCATTACCAAAAAAGCACATTACAATTTTGATTTGACTGCAGTTAATTCTCAAAAGTTGTCCTCTCAGAATGTATTTTACAGTAGTTGCTTTCTAGATATACTGTAAAAATTAAGATCAAGATTAGTCCAACCTCCTTAAATGAACAAGGAAGCGTCTAATGTCTCTTTTCTGCTTGAGTGGTATAAAGGGAAGGAGTTTAGGGGGCTTTTTTGTTGTTGTTTTCTTCAGAAATGGGACATGGCCCAGCTCAGTTCCTCAAACCCACCCGTGCACACAGACACATGGGAGTCACCAGTCACACTAAACCATTATCACATGACATGTCACACCACTGCCCACCACAAACACATAACCAGCATCTGCACCAGACACCACGCAACATGGAACACTTTAATCTATCGGTATAAATAGAACATTAACCATAGCGAAATATTGATGATAAAATTAAATTCTTCATAACAGGGCTGTTCAAAGTATCGCAATCGAACTGAAATCACAAAATCACACTGACTGCAAATATTTACGTAATGGATCATCCAACAAAATCTGCTCTACTTTTATTGGGAATACTGCTTTAGTTTTCACACCTCTAGCGGCACATAAAGTATTTCATTCTTCTCTCAAATGTTAACGCTGTGACATGTTTAAAATGTGCATTCACAAAAAAAAAAACACCTAGAAAATAAAACAAACAAAAGCGTAATTATAACTAGCATGCAAACTGCACGCTTGCATTCGCTCCATGTTTTGTCTGATACTTAACCGTCAACTCCTAAACTCGGTGATATGTTTGGGCATGTTTGTGATGGATTACAGTAATGTTGTCTGTAAGTTATCGAGAAATGTATTTGTGTCAGTAGGAACCGCTCCTAGTAATCAGAGCCAATAAGTCATCAATGTCATAGTGCAGAGTGAGGTAATTTCAGCGGGATCCATTGCAACACATGAAATTACACTGATATTTCTTAGTTGAAACTACTTCAAAACGACATCACAGCAGCAAAAACAACTTCAACCAACAAATTTTGTGTATATCTTATCTATTTATAATCATCTTTTGTTTTTACTTGACATTGAAGCTACAGTGTAAGAGTGTAAACACCCTTTAACCATACAACAAGTGTATCAGTTTGAGTTATCGGCTGCATTTTTGCGCTGGTATCTGACAGCGTTATGCTTCACTGGCCACTCTAACTGTTTGTATCAGGTCTTTTTAGGCCAATCCAAACGCTCTAAAAATAACTGCATTATTTGTATCCTTATAACAGAGCCATCTCGAAAAGCTGATTGCAGTTATAGAGTGGCTGCTGCTGCTACAAACCGCAGAGGAGTTAACTTCCAGTTTGCCTATAAAATATTTAACTACTTGACCACTTTATTCGGCTCATATTTTTTTCCAAGGACGTTTTGATAGAGCCCCCATCTAAACGTCTCGCTGTTTTAAAATAACTCTTTAAGATGCACTGTGGAACCTTTCTGATGGAGGGTCTGGAGCCTGCTTGTCTACATGGCTGTCTAGGATATTCCACAGTATAGCATTAAATTGAATCTATCTCCATGGAGACAAATAAGCAGGTGATGCCAGTTCAGATCAGTGGAGGGGAGCGCCTGCCAACGGTAATAATAATTTTTCAGTGTAATTTCGAGTAATAAATACACATGTAATTAAATAATTGAGTAAACACAAGATACACAAGCGTCCAACATTCCAACGAAAGACAGCACTACTGGAAAAGTTACATAGTGAACCTTTAATTATCTTGCGGGAGTGGACAGACTTCCCTATATGGAGATAAAAAGACACCAAAGTATTTTTCACAGGAATCCACCCAGTCCACGTGACTCGAGTTGATTGATGCAGGTCCATTGCATTGTTTAACTTTCAGTAATACTTCATTTTCATTTCAGTTACTCATTATATTCTTACTACATACCAATTGTTTGTGCAGCTATTTTCGTCAGTTCTGTTTCCACTTTTACATTATATCTGGCAACTAATAAAATTCCCTATTTCCCAAACTGAAAAACCATTGCGTAGTCTATTACATATTCTGTAAATTTCCTGACCAGTTAACAGTCTATGACGTATTCAGTTGTTACTAGGGATGTAACGATATTCAAATCTCTCAGTATGATATTTATTGCGATATTTTGAAGAGGCTGATATAATCACATAGTGGATAGGACACTTTTTTGTTTTTAAATTACCTTGACAAGATTTTGGTGTGAATTATTTCCATCATAATCCCAAGAAGTAAAAAACATATTTCTTCATGTTGTCTGCACTGAAATGAATCATGGGAAATGTAGTTCCCAATGTTTATGAGCTGTTGCTACTAAAACAATGCATTTAAGCAAAAGAACTTATAATTCGATATATTGTGAGCCCATGATATTATTGTGAGATTTTGACGATACAATATCATCATATTTCGGTTATTGTTACATCCCTGTTTGTTACTATTGTGTATTAAGTTTTGTACAATAAGCAGTTTGATAATCATGAATCACACTCAAGTAACTTTATACTGAATAAAAAACAAATTAGCTTGTAGGCAAAGTTATAGGGTTGGCAAAAAAGTTGATACACAGATACAAACTGATGCTGGTATTGAAACTAGATATTCAACTGAAGCATCAAGTTTTGCAATGGGCGTAAACTGTATTAGAACAAGAATAAAACGACATGGAAGAGGTGGGACCAAGTCTTTGTTTTGCAAGTCTCAAGTAAGTCTCAAGTCTTTAACCTAAAGTCCGAGTCAAGTCCCAAGTCGTATGCTTTGAGCTTCAACTAATTTCAAGTCCTTAAAGTACCAAATATAGCTTAGAGTTTTGCAATTTATGACTTTTAAGATAAATTGTACTTATAAAGTCATAGTATTTTTACATGTGAGTATTTATAGAGTATGCAAGAGCTGTAGAAATGCATTTTAAAAAAATATTTTGACATGATCTTAGTGTGAATCATTACAGTCAGAATAGAAAGAATTCAGATTTAAAAGTGTTTCTCAAGTCTTCTCAAGTCATAGGCCTGAAGTCCAAGTCAAGTTCCAAGTCACTGACCTTCAAGTCCAAGTCGAGTCCCAAGTCTTAGTCAATTTATCAAGTCAAGTCTCAAGTTCTAAAAATAGTAATTCAAATCTGACTTGAGTCCAAGCCTCGACATGGAAGTCACTTCTGCTACATGGTAATAATAAATATTACTTTTACTTTGTGTTAAAAATGTCTAAAAGAAAGAAGCTTTTCCTTAGTTTCATAATTGAGTTTGAAATTTTAACTATAACAGCTGCTTATTTTATTTTCCAATTACATTTATTTTCCTGAATAACACGGTAGTGTGTCTGTTTTGATTAACCAGTTAACCACGAGCATATTATAAAAACTACACCCCATCACATATGTTAAAAGATCCTACCTTCAGTCCATAAACTGAAGCTGACTGTCCTTTGTGCTTCCCGCGCGTCACCTGAGGTCATAAACCTGCAAGAAAAACATAACAACTGTAACAATCGCAACTGAAAATCAGACCAGATGACTAGTCAAATAAGTCATGCTTTTATCTTGTATTTTATGTAGTTTATGGCTGAGAGTGGATGGGTGAATGGTACGCCCACCAGTAATCATATGACACCAGTGCAGTGTGGGGGCTGTTCTTGTAAAGGGACAGAAAACAAGCTGAAATAGAAACCGGCACTTCCTACATTATAAAGACCACGCAGTTCTTGAACGCAGTGAAGACAATACGAGTGGGTACAGGAGTAAACAGCTGATCCAAGTTCACAAAGACCACATAAAAATAGGGATTTAACTTGGAATAAAACCTGGACCTAAACCTGAACTAAATTATGAATGCAGCCTAAACTCTACATGTACGGTGTGCTCAATCTTGTCTGGGTTTAATCCTGATGTAGTCTGGTTTAGTCCGTGTCTAATCCAGGTTTGGTCCCAAATGTGGTGTTTATGCAAGTGTTAATGTGCCCATAGAGTTCTGGTTTGGTCCTGGTTTGGTCACTGTTTAGTCCTCACATAGGCTTGGTTAAATACTATTCTAACTTTGGTTCAGTCCTGGTCTAGTCCTGGTTCAGTTCCGTGTTTAGTCCCAGTTTCAATATGGTGTTTTGCAAGTGTGAATCTCCCCATATAATCCTCGTTAGGTTCTAGTTTGAGCCCTGTTTAGTCCTGATGTAGACTTGGTTAAATCCTGGTCAAGTCCAGGTTAAGTCTGGGTTTAATCCAAATTTAGTCCCACATTTAATATAGAGTTTGTGCAAATGTGAATGCACCTGTAGGGTTCTGGTTTGGTTCTGTTCTAGTTCTGGTTCAGTCCTGGTGTAGTCCTGGTACAGTTTTGTGTTTAGTAGTGTTTATGAAAGTGTGAATGCACCTATAGAGTTCTGGTTTGGTTCTGGTTTCGTCTCTGTTTAGTCCTCACGTAGACTTGGTTAAATCCTGTTCTAGTCCTGGTTTAGTTCTGTGTTTAGTCCCAGGTTTAATGTGGTGTTTATGCAAGTGTGAATGCACCTTTAGGGTCCTGGTTTGGTTTAACCTGTAGACTTGTTAAGGTTCTGTTCTAGTTCTGGTTTAGTCCTGGTCTAGTCCTGGTTCATATTCTTGTTGGGTTCTAGTTTGAGCCCTGTTTAGTCCTGATATAGACTTGGTTAGATCCTGTTTTAGTCCTGGCGAAGTCCAGGTTTAGTTCCGGGGATAATCCCACATTTAATGTAGTGTTTGTGCAAATGTGGATGCACCTGTAGGGTCCTGCTTTGGTTTAACTTGTAGACTTGTTTAGGTTCTGTTCTAGTTCTGTTTTAGTCCTGGTCTAGTCTCACTTGAGTTCTAGATGTAGAATGTATAGCAGAGCCAGCATGAGCTCTATAGTGTTATGTGTGTACAGCAGAGGAGGGGCAGGTCAACCCAGGACAGCAGGAAAAGCCATGAGGCGCAGATGTCTAATTAGTTTCCACACTACAATTGGTCAAACAAAGCTGCCTTTAAGATGGCAATTCAAAATACAGATGACTCTTCGGTTCCAGTATTAAAACTGACAATGGGAGCTGGTGGTTGTTTCTGTCATGTCTCTGATAACTGTGACTTCAAACTTTCCTGATTAAAATGAAAGTTTGTTATACAGTAACAGCCTTGTGCATGACACTAAATGCATTCTCATAGCGCTGGAGATTTAACCAAACAAGATGGAAACCAAACCCAGGCCAGTTGAGCTAGTTAAGCCGGTCTGTCAGAGGGGCGAGTCACCAGCGCCTTTCACACAAACACACACATTAAAAGCCCACTGGCATGACAGCCCTCCCCACCCATAGGCCCAGGCAAAACCGTCAGGGTGCGAGCACGTCCCATGTCGCCAAACTGGACGGGCAGACTTCACATAAAACGGTGGGTGCGCCTCGAGAGTAAGAGGAGGAGGGGTGATGGAGGAGACCACTGGGGCCGCTCTCTGTACTGTTACCGAGGCAGAGCTGAAGATGAGGCGCGCGCAGAGGCAGGTGATGTGCGTGAGATGTGCGTGAGCGCAGGTTGGGTTTTGGATGTCAGCCTATGTCCTCGGCTATAATTAGCAGCCAGTCTCCAGAAATGCACCCGCCGACCCGAGGCTCTCACCTGAGGCACCTGCTCCAGAGCGGCAGAGCACTTTTACGCACTTCAAAACACCTCTCTATACAAGAGTAATAAACGTAAAAGCACCATGGGACCGTCAACGCTCCCGTGACGCGATAGTCCTCCCGTGACCCCGTTCAATACCGGGAGGGAGGAGGAGGAGGAGAGGGGTGAGGGAGGGAGGGCGGCTGAGCGTCAAGCAGCCGGTGCTGTCAGGACACTGCCGTAAATAGCGCACCACAATTAACCCAAATGAAAAGGCGCAAGCCCGCTGCTCGCTTACCTGAGCCCGGTGTGTCACCTGTGCAGCCCCGTCGCTTCCCACCGCGCTGTCACACTTCCTGGATACTCGTCCCACCTTGCACTTGGTCTGTCTGCGCGGTCCTGTCTCTGGGCTGGAGGGACGCGGGCTGTGCTCTGCTCTGCCCCGAAAACGAGAACTGTCCCTCGGTTGCGCACGTCTCTCGCTCTGCTCCGTCCTCTCCACAGACCAGGCTCTCTTGGCTGTTTGACCCCCTGCCTGCCTCCGCTGGCCCACTCTGACTCCCAGCTCCTCCTTTCTGAGAACCAGGAAGCGGCTTGCCCTACTTACGCCCAACCGCGGATTGGCTCTGGCAGTGCTGGGGCTGGAGAGGAGACCGCCGGGTGGGCAGGGCGCGGGGGAGGGAGGGACGGAGGGGGTCCGCGGACAGCGCTATAGGCCACTGGACGTGTCTGTCGCGTGGCGGAAGCGATTGGTGGGACAAGAGCCGAATAGCCCCCCCCCCTTCACTGCTGTCCCGCGCCGGGCATCGCAGGGGGCAGGTGGGCAGACTAGTGAAAGCGGATTGAAGGAGTGCTTACCTGTCAGAACTAAGCATTTAATGGACGCGAGACAGTGCCCCTTCAATCATGACTCAGCGCTATTCTGAGAAGCGATGGAGGCGAGAGAAAGAGGACATAAACAGACCAAAGAGGTTTCACTCGTGATTCAAGATGCCAAATGAAACCCGCACAGGATATAACCGAGATGTCCGACTCCAATAAGGGGATTTTTAAAATGACTTACTGTGCAGCTCGCAGCCAGTGACTCACTTAAAAGAGTAGGCTAACTTTACGCACATGTTTTACCATAAAGGATGTTTGTCTCTTCAATGAATGACACATAAAGAGTATCCATGTATTGGTGTTGACAATAAGACCACAACACTTTAAACACTGCCCCCGGTTTAGCCCAATTGCCATGTTCATAATTAATCAGGCTAATTCATTAATAAAAGTACATTATATCACATTAACATAGGCTACTATTTCGATTTTCTCCCAATTTTATGGACCATTATTTAAAAGACACATACTAAGACACATAATAAACACGTAGCCTAATAACAATATGCAAATGATGTGTAATCAGGCTTCATAACAAGCACTCTAAACACTAGTCTATCCAGTTTTTGCTTACATATAGGTACTGTGCATAGGCCTACAGGCTACACACACCTTTTTATCGTTATTGGGCCAACATAAATCACTTTCACCCCAGTTTGAAAGCTCTATATGCCATGTTTGAAAGTCTACAAACGCGTTGACACAGAAAAAACTGTAGTTTATCTCAGCTTTCAAAAGATTTTCACTGAGTGCGTAAGCCTGGTTGAAGTGGTTAGTGTCTGGGGATCACCTGTGTTCAGAGACGGCCTGCTCCCGTCTCTTGCTGCTCCTGTGCGCTATGGTGGGTTTGACGTGAAGGCGCAGGATGTCTATATATAATTTCGCGGTGAGCACAGGCAGCCCACCCATTACCACCATCTTAACCTGAAATCTGTGTCTGCTCTGCGGTTTCTCCAACTACTACACAACCTACGTATTCCACTACTGTAAATACCACCCTTTTCCTCGCTACATTTTTAGAAAGCAGAGCCAACGAGACGTGCCAGCTTCTGTGTGCACGTGGATGAATGAATAAGGATTACTCCAATCCCGTTATTAAACTAGCACACTGCCCCTTCAGTGGGACGGTCAGAATAAGCCCATGGGTGTGAGACCTTTGGCTTTTTACGCTTTTGGCAAGTTTAAAGACATGCTCTTTGACCACTACAATAAACGCATTATTATATTTCCTACCCTTTGCCCTATTTCATCTTCTGATATTCCACACTAAAGAGACTCAATTAACTCCACCAACCTCTTCGTTTTCCTCTCTGCGCTCTTTCTGTCTTGTGCAGATTCCAACAATCCTTGAAAAACCTTTAGTGTGAAACAAGGCCTTTCCCAGCACCGATTCTGCCATCTAGTGGTCACAGTATGTGCATACATCTGTTCAGTGGACAAATTGACAGTTTGGGTGAATTCCTCATATTTTGCACCTTAAAAATATTTTTTGGCTCTGCACTCTGCATTGTTTCTTAATCATAATGTGTATTGTATTATCAATAAAAAAAAAAAAAAAAAAAAAAAAAAAAAATATATATATATATATATATATATATATATATATATATATATATATATATATATATATATATATATATATATATATATAGATATATATATATATATATATATCTTGAAATTTCATCTAACTGCAAAACTGTTCATGTTAAAGCTCAAACTATTTTCTGTTCCAATATATATTACTATTATGTGAGCTATATCAGATATATTAAATAAAATACAGGCTATTATTAGACCTAGACTACTACAAACTTTATTCATCCACAAGGGAAATTCCTCCCTTGCATTTAAACAATACAGTAAGTCTAAATGTTAATTTGCTGATTAAATATACTACAAAAATAATTTGACCCAAAGTGAACAAATCAAAAGAAACATGTGGAATATAATGTAATAATTAATAATTACTATTACGTGTTACTACATAATATTAATGGGCCTATGTAAATATGTGCATCATAGATTTAAACTTTAAAACAAGCTCACTTCAGACTTTGTGATATCTAAATCCACTTTATTCTTACACCCAGATATACACCAGCTTTTCTTCATCATTATTAGTGTCACAAGTATCATCAACATCTTTACCTTCAAATCACACTCACCATGAGAAAGTCATTTGACAGCATTAGTGGCTATATTTTCACTTTTCTCTGCTAAAGCTGTGAAAGATTCAAAAGAAAACATTTGGTCCTTAGATATATTGTCTAGGCATCATGGTATCAGGGGTTAAGACAGAAATGCTTCGCTGCTACCCACACAAAACATCAAACAGCACTGAGGAATGGAGCGCTCATGGAGAGAGACGACAAAGGAGCATGAGGCTAGGCAGATGTAGCAAGGAAAGTGTGACGAAAACTGAGGGAACAAACCATTAGTGACCAAGGCTGTGGAGACGAGATGAAAGGCGCCAATACAGACAACAGATTAAAGGAAGCACACAGACTCATAGGCACGTATTTACAGGGAGCAGGGAGGGGTTAAATTAGGTGAGCCACATTAGAGTAGTATAGTGTGCCACAAAAAACACAATTCACAGAAGATTAGGAGCCCAGCTAAGTGAACATGTACAGGTTAAAAGTTTTGTGGACCAAAAACTAAACACCACACTCCTAATTATTCAAATTTATATGCATATTGATTTGTACAGCATTTTTCCCTCTATATTCTATTGTCGTTATTCAGATGAGAAAATATTATACTTTGGTGAAAAATGGGAAGCAAGAGGGAGATGGAGCTGGAAACAAGAAAGTGCCTTTGTCTGTTAGTCTGCATATGAATCTCCAGAGACGTCTGACCCTGCTTCAATACATCGTCTAATATGTTTTTAATGTTTGTTATCTCGTATTGCTGCTTCCGTTTTACATTCTGCTCTGGTCCTGGCTCCAAAAACTCTCACTTCTACCATCAAGGTAGAAACTTGGATCATTGTTCTTATCAAAATAGCTTTTGCTCTCACACTGCAAAAGAGAATATCTAGTTGAAATTACTTCAAAATATCTTTAGTTTAGTTTTAATTTAGATTTGGAGCGGGGGTGCCCAAACTTTTTCCCTTGGTGTGCCAAAATGAATATGTATTGTCATGCAGAGAGCTAACCAAATTATGTGTTGCAGTAAAAACTTTATCTGCAAAGAGATTAAGTTGGCTTTAATTATTGTGTTTTGAATGGAATAGACTTTGCAACTACTAACAGTCTTTTCACTTTTATTCCCACTTCCCACTTTTAGTCTCTGGCTTTTAACACCGTGTGAGTTGTGTGGTCCTCTGTGTCTTTTATTTATTTGACTATTTACTGCTATTTTATGATTTTTGTGGTTTTTGCTTTTACTTACTTTTATTGGTTTCACTATTTTAGGACTAGTATGACCAAAGTTTAGCAATTTACCTTTTTGTAGTCTTCATTTTATGATCTCTGTGCAGCACTTTGGAAACTGCTTTGTTTGTAAAATGTGCTATAGAAATAAAGTGGATTTGGATTTTCAGGCCAAAATGTAATCAAAATAGATACTCCTTTGACCTTTACAAATCTCAGCACACCTTTACCAGCCAAATTAGACCCCCCTGCAGGCCTCACTTTAGGCACCCCTGACCTAGAGTGACTTGTTTCATGACATTTGATTTGATTTAGAGTTAATTAGCTTTAAGTAAACATATCTGTCAATAGAGTAACTCAAATATTTTACCCATTAGCAGATTGCTTGAAATTAGAAGCCATATTGAATCAATTTGGAAATACTTTGGTTGTCTAATCGCTTCTTGGGCCACCAAGTAAATACATTACCTGTCAAATGGACTCAGACTAAGATAGATAAATTGCAGTAATTGTATCACGTCTCGATGTTCACTTTTTGCAGTGCATTGGCTTCTATTGCTCGGCTCATTGCTCATATTGAGTGATATTTCCACTACAGCTCCCTTGCTTTCCCTGACAATCACTAACACAGCTATGTACGTATACATTTGAATGTGTTTTTTAAGACTCACTTCCCAGCTATAGCATTACCAGACCTGTAAATGTCTTTCGGTATTTTTTTCATTTGCTTGAGTCAATGAAACCTGATGTTCTATAGACAATCACATCCTAGAGTGAATGCAATGATGGCTCTGTGTAATTTTCCAGTCTCACATGTTGGCTGGTAGTTTATGCCTTAGTCCCTCTGAGTCTCTTCTGCTTAGTGCCAGATCAGAGTCTTTTTTTCCGCCTTTCGGAGAGGTGCTGTTGGCGGGGGCGGCGGTCGCATGTCCTGAATGCGTAATCGTCGGAGATGTTTGGGGAGTTTGGGTAGAAGCTGCGGGGGGGTTGAGTTTTGAGGGAAGAGTTGTAGTGCTATGTTTTGTGACACTTGGGGGCGACGGAGAGGGATTTGGACAGGTGCTTGGTTTGGGAATAGGTGAAAGCACAGGAGACGTTTGTTTGACTGGATGGACGGAGAAGGTTACTCTAGTTGGAGAAGTCGAACTAGGTGGTATTGTCTGAGTTTGGGTCAGAACTTGTTTTGGACTTGAGTTGTGACCTCTTGCAGCAGGTTGCAGGCAGGTGGATGGACTTTGGGGCTTTGTCACTGGCGTTGACGTAGAAGCAGACGAAGTTGGGGAAAAACTTTGTGAAACTACAGAAGAGAGTGTTTGGGTTTGGGAGGGGACTGACGAGCGAGTTCTGGAAGTTGGAGTGGGAATGGGGGAAGACATTGGAGAAGGGACCGGACTAAGAAGGGGAGACGCAGAAGGGGGAGTGTTTGATGCTTTGGCTCTGGGGCTCTGAGGATGAGGAGGGGAGGAAGAGAGTACAGACGATGGTGGAGAGGAAGAGGTGAGGGAGGATTTAGGGCCGTATGTCTGAGGGAGAGGGACAGGAGTGGAGCTGGAAGACGGAGGAGGGGTGGAGCAGGGTGAAGGGGAGGAGGAGCAGGGGGAGGAGGAAGACAGGGGTTTGGGGCGTGGGGTGGAGCTGAGGGACAAAGGGCTGGTGCCAGCAGAGGGCGGTGTGGAGCAGGGAGGAGGAGAGGGGGAGCCAGAGGAGGGCATGGACATGGGCTTGGGGCGCACCATTTGGGCCAGTATGGGAGTGGGGGAAGAGGGGGTGGCAGGTGAGGGGGTGGAAGAGGACAGAGGGGTCTGCTGTTTAGGAGAGGAGGAGGCCGACAGAGGCGCTGCAGTAGAGATCTGACCAGCAGAGGGCGTCGGAGCGTATGGCCCACATTGTGCCGTGTTTGGGCCCATGCTCACAGAGGCAGTGAGGGCTGCTGAGGCCTGTGCTTGGACTGAAGTGAAAGGCAGACTTGTCACCTGCTGAACCGGAGCATTTGATGTCAGAATACCTGCACTACCCCCTCTGGCCAACTGCCCCGCCAGGAACTGTGCAGACAGCAGGTTACCCCCAGAAGCCTTCCGGTGCAAAGGGGGGTGTGGCTGCACCGCAGCCCAGGAGCGGTGAGGCAGAGTGGGCTGAGAGGCTGACAGCAGCCTGGCCTCCTGGGTGAGTCGACCCAGAGCTGGAAGACCCTGGCAGTTGTTCCCTCCATGACGGAGGAGAGCTTCTTTGGCCCCCTGCTGGCTCACTGAGGTCTGTGCTTCAGGGGGTGCAACAGGAGCAGCATTCGGGCTAGTGGTTGGTATTTTAGGGATGGGTGGGGTTGGGGGTCCTGTCGCTGGAGGAGTTCCTGGTGCTGCACCAATCAGAGAAGGATCAGCGGGCATACGGATGCTGTAAGGGAGAGGGCGTCCTTGCTGCACTGGAGTTGGCACAGAGGTGGCAGTAGTGGGCGTTTTGGTGATGGGAGGTGATGTGACCCCTCCAGGAGGTATCATGGTGGGTGGAGACATTGGAAAGCCCCCTCTCGGGGATATGCCGCCCATCCCGCTCATCGCCATCATCCCAATCAGGGAGCTGACAGAAGGGCGCAGCGGCTGCAGCACAGGGCCCCGCGGGGGGGACAGGGGGAAGGAGCCCGAAGGGGAGGGGGAGATGAGAGGGGAGGGCAGAAAGAAGCCTGCACTGAGTGCGTGCTGTTGTTGGAGCTGCTGCAGCTGCTGCTGTTGCTGCTGCTGTTGATGCATGAGGGCGATGGCCACATTACTGGTGGCGGCAGCGGTCTGCAGCGGTGCATGCACCAGAGGGGCCCAGATCACAGGGCGGGGCCGAGGGGACACAGTGCCACTGCCTCCGATCACACCCCCGCGCCCGGCTGCTGCAGCAGCGATGGCGTCCTGCATGGCCGGCATGCTGTCATGTTTAACGATCTGCTGCACCAGAATGCTGTCCGAAGATCCAAGTCCACCTGCTGCCAGCCCCCCGGCCGGACCTCCGCCTCGACCACCACCACGGCCCATACTGCCCCCTAGTGAGCCGCCCTGGGAGGACTTACGCAGGAGCACAGAGTTCTTTCTCCCTGTGGATGAGAAACATTCAAATTAATCAAAGACTTTCTCTCCTCTAACAACTTGACAAACTGAGTGTGGTCATCTGGATGAGTAATACCAAGTGTGTTACAAGGCCTCATTAGTGAATGAAATTCAAAGATAAATGGTTTTCTACAAGAATACCAGATAGAAGAACAAGGCGGTCGTGGGAGCCAGAGTAAACTTTTTCTGAAAATGGAGGAGGACACATTACCGATTCTGTCCAGACGGTCGACAGCTACAGTTTCAAAGGCGCGCCTCATCATGGGATGTTCTTCCAGCACCTCGTTAAAACTGTCCACACTCAGAGAGTACAGGCGGCAATATGTGTCTGCTCGCACACTGGCTGTTCTCCTCCCACGAGTCAACAAGCAGATCTCTGAAAGTGCACCAGGAGTTTCAAAGTGAATCCAATCTAAAACATTCAAACTAAGTTCCATTTGGAGCTAGTTCAAATCACCTCCAAAATATGAGCCATCGCTCAGTTTGGTTTCCTTGTTTCCTCGGGTCAGCACACTGACGCGGCCATGTTGGATGAAGTACATCTTGCGACCCACAGTTCCCTCACGAATGATGAAGTCTGCAGGCTGAAACACCTCGAAGCGCAGCTTGGTCAGCACAGCGGTCACAAAGTTGGGATCGGCATTGGCGAACAGGGGCATGTTTGCCACCAGACTGCGGCAGTTAAAGCTCACTATCTCCTGAAGGTGACAGAGAAAAGAGTTAGAGGGTCACATAAATCAGCGGTTCCCAGTCAGAGACTTACTGGGCCCAAACCTTTCCAAAATCCACTTGCTTCAAATAAAAAAATTACACCTAATAAGCATTTATTTCTAACAATTTAACTGAATACCCACTTTTTTGTTGTGTCTGTGTTCAATTCAGTTTTTGAAAGTTGCTATGTCCTGATTTTGCACCTCTTTGAGGATAATTGTGTTACTTCTTCATTTGATTTGATGACTCTGTGACCAGACAAACGGACCCCTGCTATCTCTGGTGCCCCCCAGTTGAAAACCTCTGGCATAAATCAGGTTGACAGTGTACATGTAGGCTTATATAAAATGTCAGACTTGTTTACCTCCTTCAGTGGCTCACTGAGTTCTCCCAGGATGTTCTCTTCATCGAACATTTTTCCCTGGAATCGATGCTCGTAGTACTCATGGATTTTCTGACGGACATCAGCAGGGAGCTTGTGGAATGACATGTACTGCTCTACCTGCTTGTACTGTAACAAACAGGAACACAATGGCGTCAGGATTATCAACACAAATATCAGGTCACTGTTAAGCCCCATTTGCACAAACCCTTTTCTGGTTCTGCTCTGCCCCACTTGACCTGTTCTCTGGTTCTGTTTCCATGGAGACTGCCCACAACAAATAAATCCAAACACTGCAATAATCATTTCCTCTTTGTGATTACTTGTTTCTATGCATTACTTCTTATTAAAACATAATTAATCACCAATAGGAATACCCCATTGTCAATATTCTATGTCACATTTAAGCAAATAAATCAACCAAGTCAACACTATTCAAATCCAGAAATTAAATCATTTGTATTGTTTATCGTTTCTGCAGTATCTGCAGATACTCATTGTGGCTTGGTGATATAACTAAAATTCAATTAGACTCTTATTATTGGGCCCCAAATAAACTGCCACAGCCCTGTGAGTGCGGCGCCACCTGGAGTGACCATGATTGTAACCATGGATACTGGCAGCGCTCAATCAGTGCCTTGTGGTGCTGGTGCAGATGGGCTAATAGAAAAGCTCCAAACATTTACACTTACAGTAGTGGAATAGGTCTGGTGTAGGGGTCCCGAAAGTATTGAAAATCAGATACTAATTGATATTAAAACTAGTATCCATACAATAAAAATCACATTCGCAGGACAGAAATGAACCTTTCCTGAATCGCTTTAGAATAATCTTGAACTGTATCAGAACATGTATAAGATCATAGATAAATGTCCTATTCCGATATCACGATGATAATAATAATAATAATTAAAAAAACACTCTTTCTTAGACAATAGAATATGATTTTCAACTTTAAATCATAGTACTTTCTTTTATATTACCATGCAGTTGTCTATTTGTGAAATTCCTCAGTTGTATGTGCCATAAGTTAGGAATTTTAGTATCGTGACACTTGTCTGGTGTAAATGTGTTTTTTGACCCAGTGGAGCACATACCTTTTCCTGGTACTGTCGGCGAGAGGAGTCAAGGGACTGTATGAGCGCAGTGGCGTGTCCGATGAACATGGCGTAGCAGGTGGCGCCCACGATCATACTGAGCATAGTGAGCCACACATCAGTCATCCCCTCTGGAGCCTGGGCCCCATAGCCAATACACAGCATGTGGCTCATGGCTTTGAACAGGGCATAGGAATACTGGACCCCCCACGTGTCGTTCTGCACAAAGAGAAGGGAAAACAGAGGGAAAAATGGAAGGAAAGTCTGTTAAAAACGATTAAGGTGTTAACTGCTGTGTGCCGGGCTCTATAAATACTATCCATGGATTTCACAGTGTGCAATGCAGAAATAAGCTCTGTTACCATAGCTATTAACTGTTCAAAACTATATGTTATATCTTTTGAATGGTGAAAATTGTTCACAGTGAAACATGCATCATTCAATAGACGAGAGATCATCGATATACTGTGATTTTATGCCAATATCGAGCTTTTAATTTGCACTAGAAATCATCAAACTTGTTTTGTATGTGAAATGAGGCTGAAACCAGTTTATCAATTAATCTTAACCAACTAATTACATTATAAAATAAATAAATAATTAAAAAATAATGTGCTGGAGAAGAGGTTTATGACTCAGAGAGATCAGTAACTAGAACAGAAATTTGTTTTTGTTTATAAATATAACTACTCCAACAAGATGGCCTCAAGAAAACATCTCACAGACAGGATTTCACAGCTTTCAGTTCATCTAGACAAAAATATTGATTAGTTAAATAATGATTAGTTGCAGCCCTAAGGTCTGCTTATAAGATACTAACTAATTCAAAGGGCTAATACTTTATTGCAGCTCATGTATTATTTACAGTATGGCTCATTTAGAAAAGGATTTAGTAGGACATTATTATCATGCTACTAGATATCTTTTAAAATGTAAATGTTATAGTCTACCACAATTTTCTGTGTTTTAATTTTCGATAGTATACAATAATTAAGCAGTAAAACTATTAATAAAGCTTTTTAAAAGTACAGGTAAGGGATTGTATGGAACTGCTGGACCATAAAAAGAAAAACATTACATGTATTTTAAGATGTAACATATTTCTGTAATAGTCTACCTAAAAATATTGTGTGCATTTTGTGCTGTTATTACTAGCCCAGTCCGGTTTCACTGCTACTTGAGAGAAATCTAAGGTTTAGTACTGGTCCTTACAATAAAAAAGGGTTGTGGTCTGTTGTTTTAAGATGATTCTATCAGTGGCATACAGTGATCTTCATTATCACATTGCAAAAAACAAAATCTAGTCAAGTTAAGATGACTTGAATTAAGAAAGTTTGATCATGATTTGAGTAAATTTCACTTGACAAGTCAAATTATCTTCCAGTGGAGCAAGACTTTTTGTACTTAAAATATGAAAATACATCTTGCTACACTTACAATAAGAAAAACAACAACTTTCTGCACGTAAAATAAGAAACAAAATCAAATGTTGCTTGAATTAAGAAAAACACACTTATTCCATTGGTGGATAATTTTACTTGTCAAGTTGAATCTACTCAAATAAAGTAAAATCTTCTTAATTTAAGTCATTTTAGCTTACCGAGATATAGTTTTTAGTCATTTATAGTCATATTTTCTGTAGGAATCATGGACAATTATAAATAAAGTAACTCAAATAACTTGGCCGTTCTAAATAGGAAGTGTTCACGGGAGCGTTTTCTGACTCCATCGACTTTCCAGTTGACTTTACTTAAAAAAAGTGTCGCCCATCTCTTTGTAACTGCTGCTGTGAGCCTTTTGGTCTTAAAATGTTCACTCTAGATGATCCTGGTGTTTTTATTTAGTTATTTTGCCCGTGAATAAATCAAAATTCGTCCCTATAACTGCAAGCATCGTGAGTTTCATTTCACTGGAGCCGTGACATTTCTTTAGTCCATTTCGATACACTCTCTATGGTAGAAATATATCCCAGTGAAAACTTAGTGACAGCTCTAGTAAAGGAGCATTGGTAATATTTTACGGCAAAATTACAGCCCGAATCAAAACACCAATTTAAGTGTCAAGTGTATCAAGCTTCAGATTACTTAGTTTGACGTGCCAGTCCTTCACATTCACCGTATAAAACCCAAGTCTAGTCTTTGAACGCAAGTAATGGCACCAAAGTGTGAGTCCAATTATTCTCTGTGCTAATCGTCCATCGGATGCGGAGAATATCTCAAGGGAAAATCCGAGCATCAACCATCCTAGCAACTGTCACCGAGGCAACAGTAGAGACATGAGTCAGCTCGTGAATACAGCTGTTATTCTGATTCAACGCCACTTGATAAAACATTTCCCAACGCGTCCCTGGCTTCACACCTCCCTCTGTTTGGCCTGTAGAGGATTTTAATTGGAGTATCTTGTTGTTTTTGCAGAGGATAGTTGATTTTATTTTTACAGAAGTGCTGCAGCAGAGATAGGAGCAAACAATGTTGGATCAGACTCACATGTGAATACACAAAGATAATCCCCAAAGCTGGATTTTATCAGCAAACAAATTAAATAAATAGAAATTATTTCTTAGCACAATATCGCGGCATTTCTCATTTGCTGCACAGAAAAGCAGTGACTGGAACATATTGAAAAAGATGGAACTGGTTGGAAATGAATGCATAGGCTAAGTCAGTGAAACAAGACTGACTTTAATAAGAGGCACTTCCCCTGTGGATAAAACCACTCACCAATAAAGACTGTATTTAAACCACATTGAGCACTTCATTCATAAATCATACTCTGCTTCAGGATACTTTTTTATGGAAAGCATTGTCATCTTGAAAACTCATAAATACATAAAGGTTTGATGTTTCCGATGAAGTGTCAGCCACCTGCTCGTCTCCAAACTTAATATTGCATTCCACAGTATGTCATTCAATTTATTTATGTAATTTATTTATTCAGTTATAGGCATTCAAAAATATTGTTTAAAAGTACCTTGAAAAACGTGCATTCTTAGTGGGTGTAAAGTCACCTCTCCAGATTTCTGAACTGAACTGATTTCATTCTGATCATGATCCCGCTTGTTGCTAACATCAGATTTTGCTGTTTCCATAACCGTTTAATGATTTTATAACTCCTTAAATTGGGCTGTGGGCCATTAATCAATTAATCGGTTGATGGTGTATTAGTCAAGCAAAATTTTGATAAATTCACTAATTATTTTATTTAGATTATAAGGATTTTTGTAGGACAAAGGCAGAAAGGAGGAGGTAAGTGAGATTTGTGGCCATACCAGCTCGTCAGAGTCTGATCTCGTCAGATTTCAGAAGCTAAACGAAGCTGCTCCTGGTTAGTACCTGGATGGGAGACCACTGGGAATTCCATGTGCCACAGTGGGGCAACAGTGGCAAAAATGTTGTGTCACTTCACCCACATTGCCTATAGTATGGAAGTGGAGTGTGCGTGAGTGATGGTGGTGGTCGGAAGAGGTCATGGCGCAGATTGGCAGCCTCGCTCCCGTCAGTCTGCTCCTGGGCAGCTGTGGCTACAGTAGTAACTTACCATCAAGTGTGGAGTTAATGAACAATGAACTGTAAAGCGCTTTCGGTATCTTGAAAGGTGCTGTATAAATGCAATGATGATGATTTGGTATGTTTTGGTATTTATGTAAAAAATCCAGATTAAACTAATGCCTCACAGGTTAATCTGTCTTTATATAAATACATCATTTCTTAGTACTTTTGTCTGCATAAATATTTGTTTTTGCATGAACTCATGCAGGTTTAGTCTTTAATTTTGGCCAGATACATGGTCAGATCATACACATACATAATATTTTGGGAGTTTTGCCACTCCTCCTTTTTAGACATGTCTTTCGTTCTTTAGTCAACTAGAGATCTGATAATAATATGATTTCTGTGTACATGTGAACATTACTCTGAAATGATGACTACTCTCCCCAGACAGTGAACTCACCACCATGAGATTCTTGGAGACCCAACAGTCTGGGGGGAACTCCTGCAGCATGGGAACCAGGAACTGCAGACAGCCGTCCCAGTGGCACAGGAGCAGCATCATCCCGATGAGGTTCACTATCCTCACCATGGCACTGGCCAAGTCATAGGTCATGTGGAAGATCTACGGAGAGATTGAGCGCAGCCGCATTATGCATTTTTGTTTTCATGACTTTAAGCTTGTATTTATGCACTTGTGGAGACGGATGAAAAAGTGTGAATTATTTGGTGTTTAATAATAATAATGTGACTCATGATTTTGAATACCTTACAGATGATATGAACTAAACCTTCAACTCTGCAAAAAAGATTGGGAAAATTGCACTTAATAAGTCAACTTACCAAGTCAAACATCTTATTCCATTTAGCATGAAATAACGAAAGATATATTAAAGCCATGAAAACCTGGAATAGTCATAAAATCTAGTGCTACACTAAAAGAAACTGAAAAAGTGCACTATGTAACAGGATCTGCCACCTGCTTTTCACCATGGAGATGCTATTGCTTTGCCTAGAATGCTCCACAGTATGACATTAAGATCTGATTTGGTGGTGTTGTCTGCTTGTCAATGAAAATAGAGCAATTTAATGCCATTCTGTGGAGTAGGGTTGAGTATCAATAAGAAGCTGCCGATACGATACATATCTCGATACATAGGCCACGATATGATATGTTTTTCGATACAGTGCTTTTTTGATTCAATACAGTTTGATACGATATATTTCAGATCGATTCGATATGGTTCAGTGGAAAACAAAGACTAAATCATGGCTGTGATACTAAAAGTTTTGTGCAGAGTTAATATGAAAAACTGTGAAACTGTGTAGCTCTTACACAAAATAATTTAGTAAAATATACCTAAAAATACTCTTGGCGACATATCGATACAGCAGCCCATGATATCGATACTGTATCATTACATTAAATGATATGATATACCACACACCCCAAAGCAAAACATCTCTGTGGTGCTAATCAGGAGGCACACAGTCCACCAGAAAGGTTACATAGTGCATCTTTAAAGAAATCTAAAGAATGACTCCAAAACAATACAAAGATCCTGTTTGTATCTTCTGTACACTTTTATTGTCTTCGTAGAAAAATGTGCACTTCGCATTTCAACTTTCAACCAGTGCTGCTGCGTGATCTTCTAGCCTTTTGTGCATGTTGAGGTGACTAAAAGAGAAGCCAATCTGAGCTCAAAACATCGTGGATTTTTAAAGCTTTTACCATATTAACTAGGCCTCCAGAAAACCTATCCATGGGTTTCAGAATAATGAGAAATTAGGACCGTATGCAAATAATTTTAAAGTAAATATTATATCTTTTGAATGGGAAAGTCCGCCAAATATTGCATCAAACAGCTGAAACCCATGAATACAAAAACAGAAAACATGCGTGCTAGAATAGAGTGTAGAGCTGCTGTGAGTGGAGAGTGCTCGTCTTTTATCTAGACACTAATTTCTGCAGTGTGACAATTCACAGGTTAACTTGTGAAGAAACCTCAGATATGTAAAACCAAGCCTGCCCTGGAGCTTTGTGTCCACAGATGCTCACCTCCTCCCACTGGTGGATGTAGCGTATGAGTCTGGAGAGGCGCAGCAGACGCAGGAGGCTCAGGATCTTTGTGAAGCGAACGATGCGCAGGGCCCTGGCTGTTCTGTACACCTCTGAGTCCAGACTGTCCACCATCAGGAAGATGTAGTCCACCGGGATGGAGGAGACAAAGTCCACCAAGAACCAGCTCTTCAGGTAATTCAGACGGATAGCCCTTAAAACAATACAAGTTTGATGAATTTATATTTCGCAGTCACTTCATGCTGGGCCACCGTAGAGATACATGTGGGACTTACGATGGAGAAGTCGAGAAAAAATACAAAATGGATTTAAACAACACATTTTAGAAGCCTGTGATCAATACGAGCATTCATGGTGATGTTTATGTGTTTGATTTTCAACAAAAAAGGTGAGAGTGAAAAACTGATTAAGATTATAAAATAAGAAGTCTAACAAAAAGATTAAACTCTAGCAAAAGATTAAAGTCAAACAGAACCTCAAACAGAGCAGAGCTTCTAGTTAGCATCATACCCAGTCTTGATTTTAAAGGGATAGTTGGAATTTTGGAAAGAGGACCTCATTTCCTAGTGAGCCAGAGTGTTGGAGACGTGTGGAGACACTTTTTAAAATATTCCATCCAGTCCTTGTATTTGCAGAGGTCGCTGGTGCTAGTGCATGTCAATGGCCATAGTTATCCTGTCACTAAAAACACTCCACAAAACACCAGACTGTCAATGTAAATGTCTGAGTTGATAGAATAATGTTTAAAATAAAACTAACTTTGAGTCGCATGAATCGTCTCATGTTGAGGAACTATTTTCTCAGCAGCAGCGGAATTTTACTTTTCCGGTAAGATAAGTGCAAGGCAGAGATGAGACCAAGTCTTTGTTTTGCAAGTTTCAAGTAAGTCTCAAGTCTTTGACCTCAAGTCTGAGTCAAGTCACAAGTCAAATACAGGCAAGTCCAAGCCGAGTCTCGAATCGCTGGCCCATAAGTCCAAGTCAAATCCAAGTCGTCTGCATTGAGCTTCAAGTCATTTCAAGTCTTTAAACAAAAAAAAAACACAAATATAGCTTCGATTTTTGCAATTTGTATGATTTTTAAACTAAATTCTACTTAAAAAGTCATGGTATATTTATATATAAGTATTTATCTAAGAGTTGTAGAAATCCAAATTTTTCCTTTTTAAATGTCTTGACCAGAGTACAAATTATTACGGTTATTAAGGAGTTAAGATTTAAGAGTGATTAATAAGTTAATTTGTCAACTAGTCTAAGCATCAAGACTTCTCAAGTCACAGACCTCAAGTCCGTGCCAAGTCCCAAGTTATTGACCTTCAAGTCCAAGTTCGAGTCCCAAGTCTTTGTCTATTTTATCAAGTCAAGTCAAAATAGTGATTCAAGTCTGACTCCAGTCCAAGTCACAACTCTGGTGCGAGGTGATATCAGTCCGCCACTGCCAGGCTTTCTATTAGGAAGAACAATTCGCTGCTGCTCCTCAGACATAAATCCTTCAAATGCAGGGTTGGTTTTACTTTTAAAATTATTTTATCAACACAGACATTCACATGGACAGTCTGGCGTAATAATAGATTTGCTTCTGGTGTTTTGTGGAGTGGGTGAGACTGTTTTTAGTGGCAGGATAACTATGGCCATTGACATGCACTAGCCTAGCACCAGCGACCTCTGCAAATACAAGGACTGGATGAAATATTTTAAAACGTGTCTCAACATGTCTCCAACACTCTGAGGCCCTATGTCCAAAATTTCAGACTGCCAGAATTCTTTGTTAGAATGTTATGTTCAATTGTCAAAATGCAGAATTATTGACCTGGTTTATGGTGAATATCTTTATAATCACTGGCCACATGATACAAAAACAGGCACAAAGTTGTCTTCTTCTTCATCTGAACTAAACAGACTGCAGCTGTGACATGATCTATTTATTAAGCCAAGGGTAATGGGACATCACCTCAAGAAATCATTAATCCATCCCCACAACGCACAACACTGCCGCCCTCCAGTCATTTTAAATCATGAATTCAGTATATTCCAGTTTTCAGCGCAGAAACCTCTCAGACATTCCCCTTCATTCATATTCATCGCAAATGTTACTGGAAATTGAACAAAGGCCTGGCTGCATGTGGCACATACAGATTCATATCTCACACATGAATTCATTTGAACTGCAAATTAAAATCCAGAGAAAGCTTATTAATATTATTATCCAGTCATTCAGCAGTGAGCCACATGCTGAAACAATGAGGCCCAGACAGGACTCAGAAGGAATCACTGAAGAAGATGACATCCACTGAATTCTTATGTTAATTTGAATCGTTTGGATCAGTATACATTTTCTGATTTGACTGACCGAAATTATATGTTTGAAACTGTTTCTAATAATAATAATAATAATAATGCATTGGATTTATATAGCACATCTCAAGACACACATGAAGCTTTATGCTGCATTATTCATTCACTCCATACTCTGCGGTACATTGTGTCTCAGACAAATTATGGGTCAGTGGACTGAGAAGAGTTTTACATAAAACTGTATAAATTTCTTACATAATTTTCTATCAGTGCAAAACTAAAGAAAGTAAAATAAGAGGGTTCACCACCTGCTTGTCTCCATAAAGATGTTATTGTGTTGTCTGGAATTGTTTGGTAATAACTAGGGATGGGCATGATTAGTCGACTAATCGATAATTGATCATTAAGAATTTCGTCGATCATGTTCATTTTTAATCGATAAACCAAATGTAGGTTGCTGTGCATAGAGATGAAGCTGCGTCTGACAGAGCAAACACTGGAGTTGCAACCTCACAGTCCCACACTTGGGCTCTGGCACCACCTTAGAGATCACTGTACATGCACATCTGTATCCCGGTTTCGTCATGGTGCATGTATACACAGTATCCCGATTACTACAACATAAAGAGCTGCACTATACCTGCGCAGGTATGATCTCTGAAAACATGAACCCTCTCCAACGCAACATACACACAGAACAGACTCACCATCACCGTCAACATCCCTCTGTCACAGAAAGAACACCAATAATCCACTGAGTTGTGTTCTTTAGTCCGACAGAAGCTGACCGCATCAGCGCATAAGAGCTGTTTTTTTTTTCTTGCTTAGTTTATGCAAATTACCCATGCGGTTTTATGTTTCATTTCTGACTTGCGCAAACACATTATAATCTCGAACAGCTGATGTGGCTCTATAGTGGTTATGGTTTATATGTTGTAAAGTTTAGTTTATTTATGCAGATTAGTAATAGTAATAAAGATGATACTTTTAATATAAAAACAATAATGATTAATAAAAAATTTATAATTAATTCTTCGGACAATCGATTAAGAAAATAACCTCATTCATTGTCCATTTAATCAATTACAGGTCTACAGGTGTTTGTCTCCATGGAGATAGATCAGTTTAATGGTATACTGTGGAATATTCCAGACAAAGCAATAACACTTCTATGGAGATAATCAGGTGGAAAGTTGAATAGTGCACCTTTAACATCTACTCAGTTCATATTCTGAATGTCGTTTTACCTCATGCTTGAAAATGCTTTTTTCACAGTGTAGTGGAACTAACCTGGGGTCCAACAGAATCTCGGTGCTGTCCTCCTTCACGATGCCTGTTCGAAAATTCAACACCAGGTCGACCATGAAGAGCGTGTCCGAAACCACGTTAAAGATGATCCATGACGGAGTGTTCTCATCTCTGAAAAACGTGATGCCCACCGGGAGAATGATGAGGTTTCCCATCATCAGGAGCAACATCAGAAGATCCCAGTAAAACCTACAAAGGCAAACACAGGTAATGGGTTTATGTGCATGACTCTAGTCAAACACACTGCAGAGTAGAGGTATAGTGGGCATGGCACGTGGGGGTACAGCGTCCACCCACTTCTCCTGACCGAGATATAAAAAAAATAACAAATATAAAATAGCTACAACTTAAATGTCAAACAGGAGCTATTGGCAACGGTGAAAACAACCTGCCTAGGCTCATGATATCTGCAGGAATGTCCTATAGTGACCAGAGGACCTGAGGGACCAGGACTGAACCAGGACTAAAACAGGTCTAAACCAGGACTAAACCAGAATTGAACTAGGACTGAGTATCGGGATGGGCCTGGAGGTGTGCCCATTTAGACTGTTGGGTGATTCCAGGCGAAAGGACCGGGGCAGGACCCCACAGGGCTAAGCGCAGTTGTCACCCAGTTGCGATTTGTGGACACCCTGCTTCACGGGCTCAGGGTTCTCTCCCTCTCTCTCAAGTGTGTCCTTAGAAAAGACACTTCACCCTGCCTAGTATGAAAGTGGTGTGAGCGTGAGTGATGGTGGTGGTCGGACGGGCCGATGACGCAGATTGGCAGCCTCGCTTCCGTCAGTCTGCCCCAGGGCAGCTGTGGCTACAGTAGTAGCTTACCACCACTGAGTGTGGAGTGACTGAATAATGAACTGTAAAGCGCTTTGGGTATCTTGAAAGGCGCTATATAAATGCTATCAATCAATCAATCAAGTTCAAGATTAGTCCTGGTTTAGATCTGGTTTAGTCCTGTTTCAGTCCTGCTTTAGACCTGGTTTAGTCCTATTTTAGTCCTGGTTTAGACCTGGTTTAGTCCTGGTTCAGTCCTAGTTCAGTCCTGGTTCAGTCCTGGTTTAGAACTGGTTCCATCCTGGTTTAGACCTGGTTTAGTCCTGTTTCAGTCCTGGTTTAGTCCTGGTTCAGTCCTGGTCTAGACCTGGTTAATTTCTGGTTTAGTCATAACACCAATGACGTCACGGATCACGTACCCCCACTTAAAAAATCCCTTAAAAAATGTTGCAGAGTATAGTTGAAAGAACTTGTTAAAATATGTTTTGACAAGGTTTGGCTGTTAGGTCAAAATTGAAATAATAATTAAGACGTTCCAAAAATTAATTATTTACAAGACAGTATAACCTGCTATTTATTTTGTAGAACCACACAGATTGTTGCTCTTTTGCATGTTTGTTAAACTTCGAAAACACAAATAAAACAGTATATATATATACATATTTATCTACACCTTGCAAACAATAAGTAATATAATAATACTTTAGATTAATATAGTACGTTTGAAGACAACAAAAGAGCTTTACAGTGCAGTATTCATTCACTCCACACTTGGTAAGCTAATATTTACACTGACAATCTGCACCATCGGGCTCTGCGGCCACCATCAACACACCACATCTGAACACAGGCGAGGCAGGTGAAGTGTCTTGACTAAGGACACAAGGGTAGTGTGCATTAAAGCTGCTACTGCCCCAGTGTGGCACCTGGTATTCCCAACAGTCCCACATCCAAGTACCAACCAGGCCTGGCCCTGCTTAGCCTCAGAGTTCTGACAATACAAGATAAGATCAGGCGCTCTCAGGGTGGTATGGTCTGGTAATGTTGTCCTTTTTTTTTTTTTTTGCACTGTGGTCAGTTACTGAAATCCATATATTTGAACATTTCCTCATAATACCCATAATTCCCTGCAGACTGAACTCCACTGAGAAAAGCATAAGCCCTTTTTAGATCAGACAGTAATCCAGTCCCCAAGCTCCAGTAACATTGTTGTTTTCAAGTGTTATTTTTATGGAGCAAGTCCCAGCTCCTCTGTGCAGTTCATCTATATGTGATGTCATTTACAATAGCATTATTTTTGAACGATCCAAAAAACAAAAACAAAAAATCCAATACAGGAACCTGAGTAGTATTGTTAATGATGTTACAGATGACTACACTGCAAAAAAGAAACGTCCATATTGGTTAAAATGACCTGTATTTTTATTATTTGTCTTTACTTGCTTACGTCATTGCATTTCAAATTTTCTGATGTTTTGAAAAATGTCACTGTATTGTCTGTTTTTGTTTTGTTGTTGTTTTTTTTAGTGACATTTCCTCATCCCACTGGCGTTGCCTTTTAGTGCCTTTTACTGACACTCACCAGCATTGCATTATTCATTCGCTCTGGACACTTGTGGTTGTAAACTGGCGGCTAATCTGTGCCAAAGGCCTTTCCAATTTACCGCCAGCAATCACTCACCACATAAAGGCACGGGAATGTGAGATGGTAGTGGTGAGCTGGATCGAAGTCAATAGATCAAGGCCTAATACAAAACTGAATATGTAAATAAAAAATCACATTTTTATAATAAATTAAAACAGTATTATTGAAGCTAATTCATGCCACTGGCGCAATAACCCCAAAGCCAGATTATTCCTGTAACATATTCTGAATGTACAATATCATTAAAAACATGAGTTAAAAAGCAGAATGTAACACTCTAGGTTAGGGGGTACAGCTCTGATTCCAACATACGGCCACTCCGACAGACCCCCACCCCGACAATCTGTCATTCCGACAATCCTCCATTCCAACATGCCCCCATTCTGACACTTTTTATGTCGCTATTCTGACAACCTACTCATACTGTAGTTTAGAGCATCACTTTTTTTTGCTTTGTGTAAACCGTGTGGGCCGTGCCTCTAAACCAGAACTAAAAGCACGACTAAACCAGAACTAAAACTCAGGACAAAAAACAGGCTTAAACCAAGTCTAAACCAGGACTAAAGTCAGGACTAAACCATGACTAAAACCAGGACTAAACCAGGACTAAAATCAAGACAAAAACTAGGTCTAAACCAGGTCTAAACCAGTACTAAACCAGGACTAAAATCAGGACAAAAACCAGGTCTAAACCAGATCTAAACCAAAACTAAAACCAGGACTAAACCAGAACTAAAACCAGGACAAAACCAGGTCTAAACCAGATCTAAACCAGGACTAAACCAGGACTAGACCAGGTCTAAACCAGGACTAAACCAGGACTAACATCAGGACAAAAAACAGGTCTAAACCAGGACTAAACCAGGACTAGACCAGGTCTAAACCAGGACTAAACCAGGACTAACATCAGGACAAAAAACAGGTCTAAACCAGGACTAAACCAGGACTAAACCAGGTCTATACCAGGACTAAACCAAAACTAAAACCAAATCTAAACCAGGACTAACATCAGGACAAAAAACAGGTCTAAACCAGAACTAAAACCAGGTCTAAACCAGGACTAAACCAGGTCTATACCAGGACTAAACCAGAACTAAAACCAGGTCTAAACCAGGACTAACATCGGGACAAAAAACAGGTCTAAACCAGGACTAAACCAGGACTAAACCAGGTCTATACCAGGACTAAACCAGAACTAAAACCAGGTCTAAACCAGGACTAACATCAGGACAAAAAACAGGTCTAAACCAGGACTAAACCAGAACTAAAACCAGGTCTAAACCAGGACTAACATCAGGACAAAAAACAGGTCTAAACCAGGTCTAAACCAGAACTAAAACCAGGACTAAACCAGGTCTAAACCAGGACTAAACCAGAACTAAAACCAGAAGTAACCAGGTCTAAACCAGGATTAAACCAGAACTAAAACCAGGACTAAACCAGGTCTAAACCAGGACTAAACCAGAAGTAAACCAGGACTAAACCAGAACTAAAACCAGGACTAAAACCAGATCTAAACCAGGACTAAACCATGCACCGTGTCTCCTTCTGAATATTGTCCTGAAAAAAATGCTGCTGTAACTTAATAATTATCTTGTGTGTCGGAAAGTCGAATGTTGAAAGTGCTGCCACTCCAACCAAGGAAAAAAAAATGTCGGAGTGCAGGAACGTTTGTTAAAAAATGGAAATACCATCACTCCGACAACTGGACATCAGTGTCGGAGTGACGGTATGTAGTTACAAACCACATTGGAAAAACAAGCGCAAAAGCTTAAAGTGCACCATAAGACATTAATGGTGCACTATGCAAGATTTTCTGTGACTTGCTTGTCTCCCTGGAGATTATTGTAATTGTTTTGTTATTGTTTTGCCTGGAATGTTCCTCAGTATGGCATTAAACATATCTTTGATTTATTCAATTAAGTGTATTAATTTACACCGTAAGATAGAGTAAAAGGTTTCCCTCTCCTCTCAATCTGATCAGTAACTTGGATTAGTAGTGTCATCTCCTTGTGTCCATGGAGATATACAAGTTTAATGCTATACTGTGGAACATTCCAGACACAGCAATGACAACTCCATCAATAGAAGAAGGTGGCAGATCCTCCAGCAGAAAAGATAAACCTTTAAAAACAATCTCATAAACAAAACATAAAGACATATAGACACCATGAATGCAGTTGGTTTGCATCTATAATGAGTCGCAGAAGTTTTTTTTAATTTAAACTTCTTCAGCTCAAATCTCATCGTAACAAAGGAAATGAGTCAAAATAGTAATTATCGTAAATCTACTGAAATAACAGTATGAAAATAATGCAAATTCAAGTCATATTGTTTGATTTTGCTTGAGTTTTTTGCAGTGTAAAGTAGTAACAATTCAATCAACTGTCTGCTCCTCATCAGCTCGTGATACTCGTGTGCGTGACTTCCTCTTGTTGGTGCACAGAGGAAGAGGAAGAGGAGGCACTCTCGCTGTTCGATTGTGATTCGGCCCTAATTTAGTAACAGGGGCTGATGGTGTAGCTCTAGCTCCTCTCTGATCAAGATCGAGTATGAGTCACTGCTCTCTCTCTCTCTCTCACCCCCCTCACTCGTCTCTCACTTACCCCCTCCCTCTCCACCCCTCTCTTTCTCCATTACTCTCTCTATCTCTCTTTCAATCTGCCGTTTTCTAATTTTGCGGCTTGCTCTTCCCACTCTCTCCTCTCTGCTTTTTCCCTTTCTCTCTATTTGCCTTCCTCTCCTCTCTCTCTCTCATTTTCTCTCTCACTCT